TGAAGACACCATTTCAATAGTCTAGCCTGCTGAAAATAAAAACATGAACAAGCTTTTCTCCTCTCCTGGAGCCGACACCTTATCGTGGTGGAGGGGTTTGCGTGTTCCAATGATCCCAGGAGCTAAGTTGCCTGGGGCTTTATGCCCCTGGTAGGGTCACCCAAGGTAAACAGGTCCTGGGTGAGGAACCAGACGAAGTGCGGCTCACACGACCCCTTATGATGAGAAAATAATGGATCCACGATTTCCCTTGCCTGAACGCGGGTCACCAGGCCCCCCCCCGGAGCCAGGCCTGGGGGTGGGGTTCGATGGTGAGTGCCTGGTGGTCAGGCCTGTACCCATGGAGCTGGTCGGGCACAGCCCGAAGAAGGCACGTGGGTCCCCCCTCCAATGGGCTCACCGCATAGGGGTCGGGTGCAGTGCGAGTTGGGCAGTGGCCAAAGGCGGGGACCTTGACGGTTCGATCCTCGGCTGCAAAAGCTAGCTCTAGGGACAAGGAATGTCACCTCTCTGACGGGGAAGGTGCCTGAGCTGGTGCGCAAGGTTGTGAAGTTCCGACTAGATATAGTCAGGCTCACCTCAATACACAGCTTGGGCTCTGGAACCAGTCTCCTTGAGGGGGGTTGGACCTTTTTCCACTCTGGAGTTGCTCGCAGGGAGAGGGGCTGAGCAGGGGTGGACATACTTATTGCCCCCTGGCTGGGTGCCTGCACATTGGGGTTTACCGCAGTGGACGAGAGGGTAGCTTTCCTTCGCCTTTGGGTGGGGTGACGGGTCCTGACTGTTGTTTGCACTTATGCACCCTTTGGAAGGGGTGTTGGAGAGCACTCCTCCTGAGGACTCCTGCTGGGGGACTTCAATGCTCATGTGGGCAATGACAGTGACACTTGGAGTGGCACGATTGGGTAGGAACACCCCCCCCCGATCTGAATCCGAGCGGTGTTTTGTTATTGGACTTCTGTGCTCGTCACGGATTGTCCATAATGAACACCATGTTCAGGCATAAGGGTGTCCATATGTGCACCTGGCACCAGGATACCCTAGGCCGTAGTTCGATGATTGACTTTGTAGTTGTGTCATCGGATTTGCAGCCGTATGTCTTGGACACTCAAGTGAAGAGAGGGGCAGAGCTGTCAACTGATCACTACCTGGTGGTGGGTTGGCTCCTCTGGTGGGAAAGGAAGCTGGCCAGGCCTGGCAGGCCCAAGCGTATAGTGAGGGTCTGCTGGGAATGTTTGGCAGAATCCCCTGTCAGGAGGAGCTTCAACTCCTACCTCCGGCAGAACTTCTCCCACGTCCCGGGGGAGGCAGGGGACATTGAGTCCGAATGGGCCATGTTCGAGCCTCCATTGTGGAGGCGGCTGACCGGAGCTGTGGCCATAAGGTGGTCGGTGCCTGTCGCAGTGGCAATCCCCGATCCCGCTGGTGGACACCGGTGGTAAGGGATGCTGTCAGGCTGAAGAAAGAGTCCTATCAGGCCTTTTTGGCCTGTGGGACACCAGAGGCAGCTGACAGGTATAGACGGGCCAAGTGGAATGCGGCTTTGGCAATCGCTTAGGCAAAAACTCGGGTGTGGGAGGAGTTTGGTGAGGCCATGGAAAACGACATCCGGATGATTTCGAGGAGATTCTGGTCCACCATCTGGTTGCTCAGGACGGGAAAGCGGTGCAGCATCAACACTGTTTATGGTGGGGATGGTGCACTGCTGACCTCAACTCGGGACGTTTTGAGTCGGTGCAGGGAATACTTTGAACACTTCCTCAATCCCACCGACACGCCTTCCAATGAGAAAGCAGAGTCTGTGAAATTGGGGGTGGACTCCCCTCTCTATAGGGTAGAGATTGCTGAGGTGGTTAAAAAGCTCCTCAGTGGCCAGGCCCCGGTGGTGGATGAGATCCGCCTAGAGTTCCTTAACTAACATTCGCATGGTAATTTGATAAACACACGCAAAAGAAAAAGCAGAAACAAGAGCGGTGAGCTCATGTGGCCCAGTCGCTACACAGTAGTGATGGGAAGTTCGACTGAATTAACTGATTTGATTCTTTCTGCTTTTTCTTTTGCGTGTGTTTTTTAAATTTGCCGCGCATTTTCATTTTGTTTCTGCTTTTTCTTTTGTGTGTGTTTTTTTAATTTGCTGCGCATTTTCATTTTGTTTCTGCTTTTTCTTTTGCGTGTGTTTTGTCTCTAGGGGCCACTGTACAAAACAAACTGCCAGCAATGCAATTACTATGTACTTTTATAATGTTTCAAACTTAACAAAAATCTGACATATTTACAATATACATTAAAATAAAGATGAGTGTAATGGCAAAACAAATACACTCACCTAAAGGATTATTAGGAACACCATACTAATACGGTGTTTGACCCCCTTTCGCCTTCAGAACTGCCTTAATTCTACGTGG